TGATCGATGATGTATAGTGTGCCTAAGGAGAGTCACATGGAGAGAAAAAACATTCTCTCAGGCTTTCACAGAGAGCAAATTGGTCAAGCAATGGCATGACTCATCCTCATGGCTGACACTGGCAAAGGATCTACAAGGTACAGGATTACAGGACAAATCCTGAGGGTACTTGACTGACCTTACCAGATACAAAAGTTACATTTCTTGTTATACAGGTCTTGCTTTATCTTGGTCTTAACCATTAGCAGAAAAGTATAAAAATAAGGTATATAAAGTAAAGCCATATTAATATGCTGAGCTGTGAAAGGCTCAACTCAACAACTTCTGTGCATAACCCACTACTATTGTGGACTACTGGACTGTGTTGGATTGTTTTGCTGAATTTATGCACCTATAGTATTTAGATGCCAATGGAATACCCATATCTGACAGTACTAAACAAATAAAGGAGATACAAAGGAAGGACCATTTTGTATTTCTATATTCAGAATAGTTAGGGTAGATATCCAGCTACTTTCACTTAATTCAATGAGAAGAAAGATGTGTACTAATAGTGTTTGGACAGGATATCCTGCCTGCTTCTTGTACTATGAATAACCACGAAGAAGATAACAATGTATAATGTATTAATTATTGAAGCTGTTCTATTAACCAGCTTTGAAACTCTCTCATTGATATTTGTTTCTCAATAAAATAAAAAAGAAAGAAAGAAAGAAAAAGAATAAAGATAGGAAAAGAAGTTAAAAAAATAGGATCTTGGCGCACACTAAATTCCAAAAAGCTAGGAACATTTCTGGATGATAACTAGAAGTAGTCATTTCCTAAGCATTCTAAATACTAGTAGTAAAGCCACACATGATAGGCAATTTAGTATATCACCCCAGAAGTTAAACTAAAAAATAAAGAAAGAAAAACAGAGAGAAAACGAGAAGACACTTTAACAAGATGCAACCCCAGACATGCAGCTCAGGGGCGATGAGTTGGGACAATCCAAAAGCCACCCACTAGGC